TTATCAAAAAAACAAAGAAAATTTGTAAGTCAGGAAAAGTACAGTAAACTTTATGAAGACAAATCTACGCTTACTTAAAAATATGTGTAAAACAATTTAAACAATTCAATTCACTATCAATCTGTGGTCAACCAAACTGAACGCTAATAATAATTTTCTAATTTACACATTTAATATAGTTCATGAGAAATCCTTATGGGACTTAAAAAACACAAAACTTCTGATGACATTATTACTGAATCTTGTATTAGTTTTGACCAAGAAGGATCGCGACTTTTGATTTTCCATGGATTACGTAAAAACCCCAACATTAAACCAAAAAATTCAGCAATACAAAAAGTTCCCTTGATTTGATAGCTGTTTTGTTGATACACCTGTTTTTTCTCGCCTTCGATTGTTACCTATTCCAAGAAATAGAACAAAGAATCTGTATTTAAAAGATTTATGTGAAAAGCTAAACTTTATGGGTGGACGAACTCCAAATCTTATGTATGACTTAACGTGAAATTACGGATGACTCTACAACTATCAGTAGTTTTCAGAAAGCCACTAGGCTGAAATTAAAAGAATAAAGACGGCATCGCAGAAACGCCTTACCAATTCACAAAATACCTATATGATCGGTAAAAACGTACTCAAATGTAAAATATTTAGCAAATATTACTTTCAAGGAAATAAAGTAATATTTTTTGTAAAACTTCAAAAGAAGCGATACTGTTTGAAAAGACCTATCGTCTATAAATTTTATACACATATAAAGTTATACAGGTGTTAGTCGTAAAAGATCAGATAACAAGATCTTGAATCTTTACATATCTTATGAATATTGATTTGCTAATATAGAAATAGTACGCTACTAACAATATCTATAGAAGCTAAGCAAACGTCTCGCAGTCTAGACAAAGAGGAAGTTTAGTTGCCAATTGCACGCCCGGGAATGTTTCACAATTTTCTCTATCTAAATATTTCCTTGCAATTAATTTAATTTATTTAACAAAGAGATCGCGAAATTTAAACAGCTTTCACACTGACGGGATATATTTCAATTAGAAACTACTGATTTCATAAGAAATATTTAACCCAGGAAACTTATTACATCTACTGACTCGGTTCCCATTCGTAAAATTAAACAAATCAAATTAAAAATAACATACTAAATATTTTAAAATATAAGTGTTCGATATAAAAGTTGAATAGTTGATATGATAAGTCCCTCGCTAACAATTAGTAAGACATAAGCAATCTCAGTACTGAGTTGTTCCCGCGGCGAAAGTTTTGAGAACTAAATGATTCCTTTTACTGTATTTCTTCTAAATAAAATATCCCTCAGATACCCTCAGTTAATTTACTATTACAAAACAAATACCTCCATTTAAATCGTTTAACTTTTGTATTCTTTATTCATAAATTCTCATACAATTTTCTTTGAAGATAAGTTTAGTGTTTGATATTAAAAATTGATATTAAACAAGCGCTTATAACTAGACTATGAGTTTATTTTAGTGTGATTTAAACATACTTGTTAATAGCAACAATTTAAATGAATTTAATACGGGAACATTCAGATTCAACGGGTACATTTATTAAACCTGAATAGTTTTACACAAAAGCGGTCCTTAAAATCTGCATAAAATTCAAAAACTCTTTATCATCGTTCCACTTCAATCGTAATTCCGGCAAAACAAAGGGGGAATCCGGAAGATCAATGGTAGCCGACGGCTCGTATTTACAGCTTACTGCACCGTAAATCCAGTGATATCACAAATGCCTAGGGCAAGGATATATTCCCAGCGTTTTATATACCTAACACTTTTATAATTATTCCATTGTATTTCACTTATACCTTTTAAATATCACAAATTATAGCTACATATAATTAATCTATTTTTTTCTAGTATTGAAATGTAACGTTTAATAGAAATATACAGTACCTTTGAAACGCGTCGTGTCCACACATAGCAATAATCTTTTGTCTGGAAGCATTCAAGATCTTAACAATAGTAACCATTCATACTCTGTACATTATTACATTCCGAAACATTAATTATATTTTATTATATTACACGACAAACATGCATTTAATAGTATTTTTATTATCCATGAGCACAATGCTTATTATTTCGCAGTCGTAAAACAACTTATTGTATAGTTATTATATATAATCTTGTATTCTCAAATCAGGATGATGCACCCACAATAGCATATTTTATTACGCATAATTCATTTTTTATAACACACGCGGTTATTTTGTTGTCAAATGAAAACGAGACGCAGTAAAATTATTATGATTTTAGTAATCTCTAGACTTTAGTTGTCTTTATGGAATTTTCATCTTTGTTGCTGAATCTAATAGATAGTTTATGGGACTTTAATTCAGTTTCATCGTAATTCAATAACAACGTCGCGACACTTCAAGTCTTCATAATGTTAAATTTAATATTTCATGGCAAAGATGATAAAATTAATGAATAAAACTTCATTAAAATTTATTAATATTTGTACTGTAAATGTAAATGTAAATATAATTTTAAAATGTCTAATGATTATAATATAAATATAATACTTTATGTATATATATGAGTGGACAAATAACTAAATTAAAATTTAGAGAGCAATTTTATTTACTGAAATTTAAATGAGACAAATAATACACCTTTTTTATTGTACTACAATAGTCAGGCTAAAGCATGTGGTATATGGAAACAGTGCTTAAAATTAAACATGCACACAATGAAAATTATTTCTTATACTGTTCTTTATAAAGGTGAAAATGCTATCACAGGAGTGGATTTAGGGAGTAATTTTATCTTCTCATTCGAATATATGAGAAAAAACGGCTCGTGTGGACCAACTTTTTAATTTGTAATTACAGGACAACGTCCAAGCTTTAAGCATCATTAACTTTCTCCTAAATGTCGTTGTATGGGTTCCGTGCATACTTTTATAACACAAAATTTTATTATCCGTAACCAAATTACTTTGCATTGAAGAAATAAGATAAAGAGATAAAGCGTATTTTATATAATTACGACGCCCCCTTTAAATTGTACTCTAATATCTTTTTTATTTTATGTATAAATATTGTATTATTAAAGATATATTTTTAAGTACTTACGAAATGCAGTGTTGAGTTCCATTTCGGCAAACGTATATCAAAGAAAGGAAATATTCCCTTGTTTCAAATTATCTTCTTAACCGCATATCTCTCGTTTAACTGAAAGCCGAACCTCAGATTTCAAAGTGCGTCGTTAGCAGATCTGTACTTGACAATTTTATTACGGAATGGTGGCGTATTATTGAAAGATGTCGAGGGCACTTCACACCTCCCTTACGCTAGTTATCACATTTTTGATGCGTGCGACTTTTTGTCCGTATTGTGAACGTCTTTTTGTGTATCTACAGCTTTAGATGTGTCTCGTTTGCAATTTAATGAATTTCAACATAAAAGAATAAAATTATTATATAACCATTTGAAAAATATTCTTGTTATTAATATTAAAATATAGATATTTGAAATTTATTTTTTTGTTATTTAATATAGTTTTCTAATATGGAGTGTAAATGAAGTTTAGAAATAAATAAAAAAAGTTTCATAGCGCTAATGAATGTCGGAAAAATTGCAATTTTTTAAAGTAGTCGTACGAAGGCCCTTATCTACGAATCTTGGAGCGCACCGATACTTTCCCAATTTGTCGGAGTCCCATCGAGTGTCCGCTTTGATTTTCCCTTTCAACTATTTCGAGAGCCACGACACGGTTTTTCAATTTACAAAATAGTTCCTGCTGTCTCCTAATCCAAACCATTTGGACTATTTAACTTATTAAATATATCCACACATTTGAAAAAAAATCAATAAACTGTACTATTTATTTATTATATGAAAAAAAAGAAGAAAGCTGGTTATTATCACTTATGGAAGACATTAATTATGCTATAATTTGGATATAAAATTACATATTGACATTACCGTTTTTACTACAAGCATATTATGAATATATGTATATACACCAAAACAACATTTTTACAATGTTTTACTGTCTATCGGTCCGTTTATTCGTGCTAGTCTCTGTAATTTCTGTACCGATTTTAACTTTACCTTTATTGATAGGTAACTGTGGTAATGAGGAGTAAGTTACGCTACTTTTATATTGATCACGAATCCGGATATCGAAATTAAGCGTAATAAGTCTCAAATGTGACGTGGGGCACATGTGGCGTAAAAATTTATTTCATCGTTTTTATTTTTTTAATCAAATGTAGTTGCGTGTAAAAGCTATTAATTAAATAAGGATAATTCGAACATAGCAATCAGTCTAAATAATTCTAAGCTCAAACAACCCTCCTTAATTAAATCACTTCCTTTATGTCTAAGAGTCGACCTCAATGCATTGTGTCAGAGAAAGATAATGAATATCAATAAATTGTTCACTTTATATGATACTGATAACGTATTTTAAGCCTTAATCTAAAAACCCATACAAAAGATTATTATTATTTAATTTTCAATGAAAAAATAACTATTAAATTAATATAAAATCGACGTTAAAAATGAAATGGAATTAATATATCATCAAATTTAAAACCCTAATTAAAAGTTCACTCAAATACAAACTAAGTTCAGTCTTTTTGTAATATAAATGTTATATTTGAATAATATTGTAATTTTGAAACGTCGGGTGTCAGCTCATTTGCATAGAACTGATTGTGCTCTTAGAAATTGTTAAAATTTCATGTATGTATTTTTTAACTCTGCAAAGTCAATACAAAATTCACAGTAACTTTTACGTTAAAATATTTTATTAAAATTATTTTTGCTTTTGTGAATTCATTAATTTTAATTATTTCTTACTTTCGACTAACATTCGATTAGAGATTCAAATTATATAACTTTGAATATCGTACTTAAAATACAAATAGAGTAAAAATCATATGGAAAAAGGTGACAAACGTTTGAAAAAATATTGTTAAATCAAAAAAAGGAACATAGACGGTGATATCTATTAAGATTCATCACAACTCTTCTCAACTATCTCCACCGGTATATTGTGACAGGACAAAGCTTCTCCTGAACTTGATGATGTTGTCATTTCAACAATATAAGAACCACAATATTCATGACGTAGAACATCCTTAGCAAAATCCAATGAAATGACCATTTGTTCTACATTAAATACTTCCTGCAATATTATTGATGAATTAATTGAAATATAATTTAGAATACAAAGTGTATTTATTACTTACAGGCTCCACAGGGCACTCGGATTTGTTAAAAGTCTTTAATAAGGGATACCATGGACTATCCTCTTGTTTAAAATTATCACATAGGTTTCCTTCTACGCTGTACATAAACTCCATTCCAACCGGAGTTTCCTTGTATATATTTAAATTTACCTAGAAATCAATAAAATATTTGTCGTTAATGTCCAAGTTAGTAATGAGTTTTGAGGCTTCAGACACAAAGTATTGTGAATCAAAGACAAGCACATAAGACAAGCAACATAAGTTACTGTAAAATGATGTGATTACAGCCAGTGTTTTTACAATATATATGTATATATGTGTGTATATATGTATGTATAATCACCATATAGTCGTCTATAGCAGTTTCCAACAAGTTTATCTGCCCCGAAAGCCCGATACCACTTTCATCTGTATCCTTTACAAACCCTAGTACAAAATTTTCACATTTAAAAAAATTATTATCAAAATCTTCGCAGTCAGTTATTTTGTCGTTGAACTGCGCTATATAATAAACCTAGAACAAATAAAAATAATGTATATGATTTTAAAACAACACAAATTATAATATTTACTTATCACATACATCCTCTGAATCCACAAGAGCGATTCGAAATAAAAATATTTGAAGTACAGTTATATTAAAAAAACGTATAAGTCGTTTTATAAATGACATCTTTCTGAAACTGATCCTTTAAATTATTTATATATAATATTGTTTTGAGGTTTTATATAGGATGTGATAAGTATCACGATTTCTGATACACATTATAATAAGTGTCATTATAAAAACCTTCGCGTGACGTTTTGTTTATCATTCTACTATCAAAGTTATGATCAAGGGCATATGTATGTTTTTAGAATCATGCTATTTATAAAAAAATGTTATATGGTAGCAATTTTTATTAAATATGATTAAAATATTTACTTTTAGTTAATACATATTACTTTCTAATAATATTATATACAAAAAAAATGAAAATAATATTATTAATGCTTATCAAGAATGTCTTCATGTTTAAGTTTGCATATTGTTTGTCTGTATTGTTTCTCGTTTCCAAATTTGTATTGTTCCATGCAACTCAATATAATTCATCTCCTACATTTCTTAATTCAATATAGAAGTGTCTCATTTATTAAGATGTACTTAGAAGAAAGGCTATTTAAATAATTAAATTTATCTAAAGGACGAATGTCAAAATAAAAAAAAATACTCCTACCAACCAGTAAAAATGGATACTTCAAGCTTTATTTCATCTTAATTTAAAATAATTAAACGTCTTACTTAGTCAATTAAATTAAGTTTAAATGTTTGGGAAAATTCGTAGTATTCAAAATATAATTTTCTTATATTTATCTCTAAATGATGATATTATTATAACAATTATTACATAATAATATTTTCAACCTTTAAAGAAAACAATGTTTAACTGAAGTTTTAAATAGATATTTTTATAGTAAAAATAAAACTAAAAATTTATCGATAACATGTCAATTCATGAATTGAACCTTAACTTGTGTAATAATGTGTTCTTGTTAGAATAGTGTCTTGCCAGAGCTCATTATATTTTCTCTTTTAACATTAAATGTAGTATAGTATAGTTTAAAATTAAATGAAAAAAATTAAATATGTTTCCATTCCTAAATTATAATTAACGTTAACATTATTTATTAACAACATTATTTCTAACTCAGAAACTATTTTATGACAGATATGAAAGGTATGAAATGAACTTTATAATTTATATTTTATTAAATAGTTTTTTAACCAATACACTGCCGGACCAATATTGGATTAATATGAAGCCTTTTTTTGTTAATTGATTACTGTCCAAAAGATACACAAAAGCTGAACTTAATGATAAAGCATTCTCTATCAGTCAACATTAAAGTATATAAAGTTAGTATAAAAAAATTAAAGGTATTGGAAAACGACAAAACACAACTGAATCAATGAAATAAAAATTTATCTTATAATTTATTATTATATATAAATACATACCTTCATATATAAATCTAAACATACTGATCTAATCTAAATACAGAGACACAAAAGAGAAAAAACAAATATGATTATAAAGCATCCTCAACAAGTATTCTATTGTTCCAACAATATTCTGTCAAAGTTTTCTTGAAGATTTTTCTTTTGGGAGAACGTTTAATGAATTCTGGTAAGCCATTCCAGGGCTGTTTAAGAGTTTAAGATTGAAAAGTGTTAATCTTCTTGAAGAACGAAGATGAAAATGATCCAACAATTGAATCGTGAGAATTACCCAGCCACTGAATTATTTGTGTAGAGCATATAAACAATGTGTTTAAAATAAAGTCTAACCTAATTATCATATCGATATACGAAACATAAACTTAAACATAAGAATTTAATATCCTTCAGTACACATAATTCGTGTAGTAATTTCAAAATGACTGCAATTTTTTTAAATTGTTGTTTTTTTTTTAAATAATTTTGCAAATTCTAAAAACAGCATTTAGAAGACATGACCTGATTTGCCTAGTTCCAATGTAAATTACAATTAGTTTTATAAAAGTTATTAAAATATTTTAGTATTCAAAGCATTTAAAATATATCCTCCTTTGAAAAATTACCTTGTGTGTAAATAAAAATTTATGCATACCTTATGAAAACAAGGTGACGTATGACATTTAAATGATTAAAAGAAAACAATAACAGACTTGGTATTCTTTTTTATGGACAGCTATTGTAAAACTTATGTAACAAATTTACAAACACATCTACGACAAAAGAAAAGATTAATATCATCACATATTAGTTTCATTGATTAGGAATTGTTACGGGCTCTAAATGCTAAGCTACAAATGTAATTATTTCCCTTAGCTAACATGTAAACAATGCCAAAATATAAAACGTATCGAAGAATCTTTTTTCCATAAGTTATACATTTCCAAATATGTGTATTATTTTTTGTAAAAAGATAGAACTCGCGTAGGGAGTATATCATTTCCGATATAGTAGTTTTATGTAAATGACGCCTACTTTTAAACTGCAGTAATTTTTTTATTCCGATTCGAACTCCCCTTTACGTATTTGTTATCTCAGTGAAGTGAATTCGTAAGTCTGATTTATTATCTGTTTTTTATAACATTTTTATGTTAAATGTTGATATCTTTTGCTATGAGGTCGAATAAGGATTTGCTATATAGTCTACTCATTAATTATTATTTATGTAACAATTCCTTCAATTATATAAAATTATACAATTTTTCTTTATGTGTGTTCAGCTTTACATATTATATGTACTTAAGGGTTACAAAAAAAAATTAACTGCTATCGGATCACAATAACCCTAATTTAATTTGTTCCTTGTAATTTGAAATCATGTTCAGGTTTAGAAAATAATAACAATAAAAAGATACTTAACATCATTTATTACTTAGAGTCTTATAAATAAAGTGTAATTCCATAATTTTAGAAGGGTAAATAACTAAGTTATGCGCATAGAATTACTTACGCCCCACTTAATTTGATTGCCAGTGACACCTATGCAAATGATGCGCAACAATTAATTGAATATCTCTGTTCAGCTGAGTATTGGGACTTTCAATGACTTTTGAATACCATACGAGGTAACTTTGTATACATTTCACCGTTTCAAAATAAACAGTCAGAGAGGAGCCGAGCAAATAGTCGAATATGTTATCTTGTAGTAAAATCGTATTGGAACTTGCTAATAGAATATTGCAAAAAAACATTTTATAGTTCGAATTTATATAAAAAGGTGAGAATATTGCACATTTTAAAAACTACGTTACAGGATGTCTTAAACATTAGAGGAGCGCATAGTTTGCTGTATCCAACTTAAATAGCTAGGTACAGAGGTGTACACGCCGGGCCAGCCATCTCTGCCACATCCATTTCCAAATGAGACAATAGCAATTGACTGCCAGATTCCAGATGGAGATTTCCTCATCAGAGGACCACCAGAGTCTCCTCTACATGCGTCTTCAGCGAAGACACCACCAGCGCATAACTGCCCGCTTGTCAATTCCGCCTGCAGACTTCTATACTTCTGAACGCATTGCGACTTACTGAATAGAGGTAAGGCCAGTTTCAGTTTCACTGGACTACTTTTGCCTGCAACGAATATATATGTTTATTACATTTCATGTTATTTACATAATATATTTTTTATTGGCTGATTTATAAAAATACCAAAGTGACAATAACTCAAATATAATCTCATAAACACATTTGTTTTTGGACTCAGAGGTTATTCGATGACATTTAATAAATTTTAATAACAATTAATAAAAGAATCATAATTCAACATTGTTATATAACTCAGTAAAGGTACAGGAGAAACCTTCTACTTAAAATACAAGATCTCAATATACAATGAATAGTGTGAATTTTCACTACTTCCAGTCTCATCTTTGAATTATGCTCTACTATTGTAATATTTTTTTTAGATTCAAATAATTTATTAAAATAAAACAAATTTTGCAAGTTCTTATCTTCTCCATCATATAAACAATATAGTGTTTTTAATACCATTATTATCTAAACAAAAAATTCTTGTAATTCAATCAGCTACTGATTCTAAAGAAACTTTACACTCTTGTATAGATAAAACTTACCGCCCAAGGTATTTCCCCAACCAGCAACATACACGTCAGTACCAACGTCTAAACGAAGACTGTTGTCCGCTAAACATATTGGCTGGACGTAATCTGTAATATAAAGAATTAATATATTATAACAATAAAACTTGACCGTGATTAAATAAATAAATAAAACAAACAACCTAATGTTTTCTAAATAATTTGTCACGAAAGAAGTATCTAAAACATATATTTTTTTATAACTTATGTAATTCGTAATAGTATTTTCAATTTTTTTTAATGAAAATTCTAAAAATTTAAATCTGGACGCAAGAAGCTTTACGAACACGTATAAGTGCTAAGTTTTTTGATTGCAAAATAGAGTACTAGTGGGTACTAATAAATAAAATTAAAAGTTTTTCATACATGAATATGTAGCTCTCTTCGAAAGTCTCACTAATGCGATATCATCTTTCCTGTTAATATTTTGGTCAGAGAATCCTGGATTTGGATATGCTGATTGAACAGCAATCTCTTGAACGGGATCCGCACAAAGACCATCAGAACAATCGACGTCCGTTTGTAAATCGTATTCACCCAATCGTACAGTGCTCCTAGAAGAAACAGTTTGAAATTTACATTTTATATAGAAAATGCATTAAATAGAAGAGTAGGTATTAATAATTTTTGGAACATTAAAAACATTTGATGACATCCTTTTATGACTTTCAAATAAACTGAACTATTTTGAAGATAAAGGATAACATAAATTAAGTGTGTTTAGTAAAGATCTTGAATTTTTAAGTGCTGAATGAAATGTTTGCTTACAATTTTCCTACTGCGGTTTCAATACTTCCAATTACACAGTGGGCTGCAGTTAAAACATATCTTCGATTTATCAGCACTCCTCCGCATTGGTAGGTCAATCTTGGATTGGTATCTGTGAATTATTTATTAATACATAAATTATAAACTACTAATATGTATGGTAATAAAATATTTATTAAAAAATATCTTTCATATAAATATGTAGATTATGGATAGTATCAGGTAGAGTTCAACTCACTTGGTTTATATCCCAGTAAAGCCATCCATGGGAACTCATCCAATTCTGTAAATTGTCCTCCATATATCCTATCACCATTAGTATCTATTCCACATTGGTCGCGGGGAGCTAGATTAGAATCTTCAGGGAACACAGGATCCACATTGCTATTTATATTTGTGTCCGGTCTAGGACGTTGTGTTGGCCTGACCTATTACAAAAGCAAACAATGTCACTACATATTTAATCAAATTGAATGATCCATTACTTTTATTTTTTAAATTCATAAATTGATATTTTTTTCATTTCTCACAGCGGATCTATAAACATGACGTTCGATAGCGTATAAGACTAAAAAACCTTGTGAAGAGAACTATACTTTATAATAGCGTCACCTTATTTGACGTCGTTAATAACCATAAATATTTTATATTGTCCGCAAAGACTTGTTTTGTTTATGATATGAACTATAATATTATAATATAAAGCATTATATTATTAAAGTATGAGATTGTGAAGAATAAAATCTATGTAGTTTTTTGTGAGCAGTTGGATAAGGAAATAACTTGTAATAGGCCTGTTGGTTATAATGAAGTCATATGTTTACCGTGCTTGTCGGTCGTTGCGGCATTAGATCAGGCAATGGTCCACAGCAAACTCTTGGAACATAGCCTTCAAATCCACACTGTGATTGTCTGAGGAATGAAACCACATCGCTTCTTAATGGTCTTTCTTCAAATGCAGTAAGAAGTTGAGGACAATCGTAGAGTGATATACACTGACTTGTTCTTCCGAGAGGTGTCTTACAAGTATCTGAAACTATTAAGAGACGCATTTATTATATGGCAATTAATAAATTGTAAGAGATGTCTGAATCACAGTCTGGGAAACTTGATATATTATTAGAGAAGTCATATAATTCATTTTAATAAACCCACATTTATGTTATCAACAACAATAATACTGTACATAATTACAGTTAAGATACCATAAAAGTACGTTTATTATAAAGATATATCATGAGGAATAAAGTATATTCAATATATATTTGTCCTCGAGTCATACCTTACTTTTTATTTATTTTATAGTAAGTTCAAGTCTCATATACCTGGCTTCTCAGTCTAGCTCGTTTGTTATGAAGTAAAAAAAAGACTAAAGATTTCTCACCAACGCAAAAACCTGTTTTGTGTTCACATAAATATTTAAACGATTACTTTGTGTTACCACGCTTCAAATGATTTGGTAGTACAGAAAATACATCTTCACAAACAAATACTCATATGTACTATTATAAGTTATTACTTTATTATAAGTTTAATTAAGTAATTATATACACACATGTATACAGCATTATTCGTATATTAACTTCATTCAAAGCACATAAACCTGTTATAATTATAGCTGTTTTTCCTGTACATACTATACGGACCGTCTCATCTTAAATATCATTTGGGGTTTTCCACTATACAATATTTATACAAAAATAATAAATAAACCAAAGAGAATAAACATTAAAAAACTTATTATTTATAACATACACCACGATACTTCGATGACAGTTATTTATCATTCTTGATCTTTAACCTAACAATATTAAAGATAATCTAAATCCTATTTGGTTAGTTCAAATATATAGCAATAGAAGTAAAAAACAAAAAATACACTCGTCATACTCACATGCACTAGTGAACAATAGCGAAAAGGTGATGAATGATATAAAACTCTTCATTTTAACAATTTTTTTCAATAAACAAATAAACAATATCACAGAGTTTTTATCATCACTGTCTATGAACGGAGTCTTGAAGTGTAAATGAAGTAAAATGACGAGATCACTCGAACGTCCGAGTCGATATACTGGATCTTAAAGGTCAACTATACTTATATATAACCATCGTTTGAGTATCGTTAGCAGGCAAATATGAATTTATATTTATAATAAACAATATGAATAAACTTCACGCAATGATTCATATAAATGTTATTATATTTTGTAACTTATAATTAATTATACATAATAAAATACTTTTTATTTTGTCATTACAAATCTTTTAGTGTTCATTTATGCCTTGTCTCAAATATGACCATTTGTGGATTTTCCTGTTTCTGTTATAGCTACAATTTTTGATAATATTTTCCTTCTTCGTCTGATTACAAATACGTATTTTTATAAGCATTTAGCAAAGTTATAATGTTCAATATTTAGGAGCACTTGCAATATTCATAGAAAATACATTTCCATTTTATATTAAGTTATTTATATTGTACATGAATCTACTTTATAGAGTTTGCTATTGAAATAACCCATCAAGTTTTGTAATATTAAATTATCGATTTGAAATAATTAGATCTTATGATTTTACAAAATTAATTAACTTTCGAAATAAAAATAATAATTTTTGCGTAACGTATTTTTGTAACTTTAGGATATTTTATTTTAATTGACTTATTGCTTCTTTACTATAGGAACTTAGACTTATCATTCCTTACTCATCTATACTAATATTATAAAGCTGAAGAGTTTGTTTGTTTGTTTGTTTGAAAGCGCTAATCTCCGAAACTACTAGTTCGAATTGAATAATTCTTTTTTTGTTGGATAGTCCAATTATCGAGGAAGGCTGTGAGCTATATAGCATCACGCTACGACCAATAGGAGCAAAGATATAGTGGTAAACGTGTAAAAAACGGGAGAAATTATTTCATCTTTGAAGCCTTCCGTTGCGTGCGTCGTGAAAACGGTTCAAGATACACAAAAAATATGTATTAAAGAATAATAGCTCTTTTAATGATCTAAAAAACAATCCGCGACAGTATATGTCTATCTTTTAAGATTAACTCACAAAAACCGTTTTATGGTACCTAATTTTGTCGAAATAATTTGTAAGTTGTATCAAAATAATAATATTAATCTTTATTCATATAAACAAATAAATATGTTGTTGGTTAAGAGTACTTCATTATTAATAAAAAAAACATAAGTTTCATCCTGAAAATTCTACGGGAACTCGACCATTCCGAAAACCCTGCAAGAACGGGAACTATGTGGGAAGAACCAAAAATCTGTCGGAAGTAACTATTCCACGCGGACGAAGCCGCGGCAAAAGCTAGTCAAAAATATATAGATAGACATATTATAGTTATTGTTATTATGAAATTTTAACAATAAAAAAACAACTATGTTTGTTCTGAATTTTATAGCTATTGACCACTGTAATACATTTCATAATTTTATTATAGTAAAGTATGTAGGAGGGCGTTATAAGAACAGGAGGGCCTTCATGGGAACTCATACTTTGAAAGGGATAAAGTACAGTCTATTCAATACGACACCAACTCAATCGAAACACTAGATATCACTATCACTTCGATACACAGCGATTCGTCACGAGCGCGGTGCGCGGGCGTCATCCCGAACCACACTAAGATGGCCGCCCTCGCTACCATCACAATGACGCTTCACTAGGCTAACCTCAGACAGCTAAAAGTCAACCTGACGTATGATTTTTGACGGATGCGCCGTCACGGCCGGACTGACATTCGACCGTCCTCGGGCGGTTCTCGGATCAATGAACTACAGTTGTGTCTATTCCGTTCGGCATCCTGACAAACGACTAGTTACAATCATCAAAATGTGCTATGGTACTTAAGACTTAAGGCGAGCATCTCGTAGCAATTAAGCCGGACGACAACGCCTTGTCACTTAACAGCATGTAGGTTAACTGTTCACAATTAGTAGGTACTATTGGACAGGTCGGTCCTTTGGTGGATGTGACCCGGACGACAACATTCGTCTTACCACGATACTCAAAATATTCAGAACAAGTCAGCCAACGTAAATGGATCTGAACCGGACGACAACATTCGTCTTACTACCGTCTGCAGAGCATCCAGAACAAGTCAGCCAACGTAAATGGATCTGAACCAGACGACACCATTCGTCTTACTACAGTCTGCAGAGCATCCAGGACAAGTCAGCCAACGTAAATGGCTCTGACTCGGACGACAATATTCGTCTTACCACAATCTGCAGGGGTTCCAAGACAAGTCAGCCAACGTAAATGGATCTGACCCGGACGACACTATTCGTCTTACCACAATCTGCAGAGCAACCAGGACAAGCCAGCCAACGTAAATGGCTCTGACTCGGACGACAATTTTCGTCTTACCACAATCTGCAGAGGTTCCAGGACAAGTCAGCCAACGTAAATGGATCTGACCCGGACGACAACTTTCGTCTGACCAATCTGCAGAGCATCATCACACACATATCAGTGAACAATGATCGAGACGTAGACTCCAATGACCTAGCCCCATCATCTCCACTACTTATACTCATGTGAGTGAACGATGACCCGGACATAGACTCCACCGAGCTAGCCCGTCCATCTCCACTAGCCAAACTCATGTGAGTGAACGATGACCCGGACATAGACTCCACCGAGCTAGCCCGTCCATCTTCACAACCTGATCAAGCGTCGACCGGACGTGGACTCCATCGAGCCAGCCCCTGCACGCTTTGATCCATCACTACTAGAAACATCGGCCGCATCAGCCAGTTTCATCGCCACCTCAAACACACCAACTCAAACTTACACAACTCATTTATGGTTTATCAATGTTGGAGGCCATCAGAGCTACTCAGCTACTCACTTTCATCATCTGACATAGCTTCGTTTCCATTCTCTCCACTCCATGACCCGCCGTCTCGGCCTCCTCATTACTTAGTTCAGTGGATATGTCAACTAACCCTTCAAAGCCTCTGGGTACTGCGCTCAAGTTTTCATGAGAGTATTTTAAAGTGCAATTAGATTCATCGGTATGTTTCAGTTCGTACCTATCGTTGTCTAGAATTTTAATTATGATAAAAGGTCCCCTAAACTTTCTTTGTAGTTTAGTTTGGTAACACTCGCTACACTTAACAAAAACGTAATCTCCCCGAGAAAGAAAAGAAGGTTTTACTTGGGCTTTGCCTTTATTAAATTTAACTACTTCCTTTTGATCTGCGTTTTCAGTGTTGAGGGAAGTTTTATTCCGGATATTGTCTAAATCTAATCTCGGCTCGTCTGAATTTTGGGCTATTAATGATATCCCTAAAGATTGCGCGCGTATGCCAAACATTAGTTCTGTTGGAGTATATCCTGTAACCCTACGGCTTGTGTTATTAAGTGCTAGAGGACTCTCCCAGACCAGAGCAATTCAGTAAGATGGGGTAAAGGTACCGAAAACACTTGCTATATCTGCGGAAAGGCAGTTGGAACTGCTAAGCATTCGCTAGTGAGATGTAAGGTTCTCCTGGACAGCGGTCAACTCTCGCGTCGTCACTATAGGGTTTTAGAGATCATACGTGAAGCGGCCAGTCCTTCGGTAGCCAGAGCGCAAAGGGAAACAACCACAAACGAACGATCAATAGGTTTTGTGAGAGAGAGCACCAGGGCTACAAAATCAAACGTCAAGCCCTACTCTATCCTTAAAGCGGCTTCGGATTAGACTATCATGATGGATACGTATGAGAAACAACACAAAATCCCCGAGGATACTTGTGGTTCAGCCTCCAGACCAGACACATTTCTATATTCGCGTATTTCAAAGCGCGTTGTCACTAAGTATTACGAGCTCACTAACGAACTAACTCGAAATAGGTTCGTCGCCGATTCGTACGCGGTAAAGGTGGGAGCGAGAGGTATAACAGCCAAATCTCTCTACAACCTACCAAAAGACTTGGGCCCGTCCAGAACCAACATTAATTCATTCTTGGAACGTACGTCGAATTCAGCCCTAGTAGGTTCAATTAGTAGTAGTTTTCAAATTTGGCCAGGTAGGGAGAGGAACTTGGAC